CTCTCGAGCGCCAGCCCCAGGATGACAATCACATCCCAGGCGCGCCGATCTCTTCCAACTTTCCTCTTCGGCTAAGTCCGGGCGGAGCGGCGAATCCGAAGCTCCGCGGGCCCTGGTGGCGGGCCTGGCCGCCCCGAAGTACAAAGAGACCTCGGCGGAGGAGGGCGCGGCGGCGAAGGCTCGGCTCTCTCCCCGCCACTGTAAATCCCGGAGTTAGCGGATTTCTCGGCTCGCCGCCCCTAGCTTCTCCCACCAGGCAGGGGACCCGAGAACGAGCTGAAGTTTCGGAATGGAGGTCCCTGGGAGAAGTGCCACGCGTGCCTTCGTCCGGGGCGTAGGGAGTCCGGGAGACTGTCCCTCTCCGCCAGCAGCAGCAGGTGGGCAAGAGACGGGCCTTGGGCATCTGCACGTATTAGACCCGCTCTTACTTCCACCAACTCCCTGCCAGATTTCGAGGGAGAAAGAAGACACTGGGGACCTGGGACGGAGGGAGGTGGCCTTTCTCTAGAGGGGAGGCAGCGAGCAAGAGCTGCCACACTGAGAAGCAGCCCCACCGGATCAGGTCTCCGGACCCCGCTCCTCCACCCCATCTGTTCCAGCCTCGCTGCTTCGTTCTGGGCGCTTTCCACCCGCAGCTCGCCCTGCCGAGGCCGGTGGTGCGGTGGTGGAGGATGAGGGTCCCCTTCCCCTTCGAACGCGCTCGCACCCCCGCCCGCTCTCCACTGTAAACACTCCACAGAGCAGTGCCCAACCCCACGACTGTTTGTTCAGCGAGGCGCTGGCAAGGCAAACACACACAACTGAGTCACAGGCAGAGCCCTTGCCCACCGCGGCCACGCAGTCAGAGTGCAGAACAGACTCTGCAGGTCTCTCCACCCCGCGCCGCCACGAGCCGCAGACGCACTGGACCTCAGGGACAGACAGGGGCGCTGGTGAACCAGGACAGGGACCGGCACACGGGTGGGCACTGCGCTGGCGCTCACTATAGCGGGGAATTTGTGCGCTTTTATTAATGGGGTCACACGCCAGCCGCAGCACGACTAGACACAAAGTGTCCCGCGATGACTTTGACGGGCGAGATACACTTATATCCTGAGCTCCGCCGGCCCCTGGCACCCGAGCTCCAGTGCGCGACAACGCGCACGCGCGCCGACTCCTCCCCCTCCGTCGGCTTCCCGGGCTCCGCCCCTCCAGCGGCTATTCTTGGGGACCCTTGCGATCCCCGCAGCCCTCTCTCCCTGCCGTCACCTCTAATTGGACGCCGGCCTACACCGACTCCGTCCCCCCAGGTCCTGGGCCCGCCTCCCTGCGAGTCAGGGCGCCGAGGGGCGGGGCGTCGG